GAGAGTGTTGACTGCTTCAAGGCTGAATTCGGTGGTGGTGGGAGAGGTTGAGTTCGAGGGATCCAGTTGGCCGTAAATCACACGGCCAAGCAAGCAAACAAACACAGCACCGCCCCTCGTCGCATGAGAACTTAGAGATGATAGGATCACGCATGCTGCAATGTATGACTTGGTAATTGAATATTCTCCAGTACTTGATGTCGCATTGGAGTATGGGATAGCTGTTTCCGGTTTCAACACTTGAGTATTTTTAGTCCTTCCATGGACTTCCGGGGACTGCGTCGCTTAGTGGTTAGAGCATCTCGTTGTGGTTTTTCCATCACTCCTTACAGTGATATGCCCCGAGAAGACGGGTGTTCGATTCACCCCGCGGTCATTTACTTTTTTTAGCATTCTAAACCGGGCCTCAAGGACTTATCGTTCTGGGCGTCGGGAACAAGGCGAAGAAAAAGATCTCAGGTAGAGCCACGGGCAAAGCAGTAGATAACTGATTAGCGGGGTCGCACTCCGTTTGATTCAGTTCAACATAGAGTTTTTCCTCCAGATCGACTCATCAAGCTGCCGCCTCGATTGAGTCCCTAACATCTGGCTGAGCATCAAAGTCGACAGTTGAGCTCATTCGAACGTGCTTGAAACAAGCTCGAGAGTAACCGCGGTATTAACCGCGGTATCTAATCAAATTATCTCGATCACTGCGATTAGATTAGAGTGGTAAGGAGACATACCATTAGATCGCACTCTGCCCAACGTTCTGCATGAACACCCTCTCCTTTCCACAACCCATAACCCAGCTCAGGCTCGTATCATTTCGGCTTCAAAGAAGGTACGGACTGGGCGATGTCGGAGGAGAGGGTGAGGGTTTGTGGGAGATCTACCACTCGAAAATGGCAATTGGGTGCATTTAATCCCACTAAAGGACATCGATGGGGTGGATTGATACTCATCAAGAAGCCCTCGCCCGCAAGTCTTATACAATAATTTTCTCACCACCAAGTCTATCTGGACAGTGGAATTGTCACGCTTGTGGGAGGTGTGGTCGCAGTCGGGCGAAAAGAGAAACGTCAGAGGGAGAGAGTGAGGTCAAGGAGAGCAGAGGCGAGGTTGACGGTGACGACGGAGAGGAAGAACTTCGAATCAGGGGTGGCGATGATCCCTTGTTTTTAGAAAAGACGGGGAAATAAGTAAGCTCGAAGGTGCATCGCTCTATCGTGGTGAATGACGGCAGTGGCAAGTACGTACGTCTCGGAGAGACTTGAGGGCGAAACATCCCGGCGGTACTGGATGGGAGGATGTCTTGAAAGCTTCAAGACCTCTCGGACACCGCGCTCTTACCGCCTTTCGGAGCTGTCGGGTAGACTAGACGCTCACGCTTCGTCGGCTCGTGTTATTTTGGGCTACTGAGACTTCGAGTCGTGGGTCTGGCTTGCACCTGAGAGGGAACAAACGGTCCGTTTGATCATTCGACTTCGCCGCGGAGAGCGGGAGCATGACCTAGGGAAATTTCGCATACAATCAACGCCGCCTTTTGTTTGCCGGTCACCTGGTTCAGACCGAGCTGGTCGCGTGCAGCTTCTGCTCATCGCAACCAGGATGGAATTATGGTTTAGACTTCAAACCAACAAGGGTTTTTGCAGTCCGGACCTCGTGAGCGGTGACTCGCTTAACAAAGGGTTAATGAGGTGACCTCAGCGCTGCGTAGGGGCGCCAGAGACAACGGCAAAGCGTCAGATGGGGGACGAGGGTGGAAATCATGTGAGAGGCTACAGCGCCTTTAGCAGCGCGTGACAGTGACGCGCCTCTTCTTCTTGAAACGGAAGAGCGAACAAACACATCGGAGTATCGCGGGTTT